GGGTTCCTCCCGGACCAGGGCACAACCCCTTCTCCCCTGCATCGGCAGGCGGACTCCCAACCACTGCGCCACCAGGGAAGCCCATGAAATATTTTTAACTTTCTATTTTATTTTATTTTGGCTGTGCTGCCCAGCATGCAGGATCTTAGTTCCCCAACCAGGGGTCGAACTCACGCTCCCTGCATTGGTAGTGTGGAGTCTTAACCGCTGGACCACCAGGGAAGTCCCCTTAACTTTTTCAATCATTTAAACACGTAAAAAACTTTTTTTTTTTTCTTTTCACTTTCCAGAGGTACAAAAACAGCCTACAGGCCATAGTTTGCTGACCCCTGCTTTAGAGGTATTTTCTTGAGGCAGAGTGAACAAGATTTAACTGGGGGTAATGACCATGTATAGTCTGTACTCCTCCATAGAATACTTTCCGAAGTTAAAGGGGGCACTGTTAATTACTGGGAGAATAGGAGTAAAATTAGACTGTCCTAAGCCAACCTCAAGTGGTCATCCTGAGGTTAATGGTTAAGAGAAGTCAAAATTGCTTCAGGACCTGGTAAAAGGAAATGGAAGTGGCAATAATGTAAACAGGGAGCTTGGGAAGACACTGGTTTTAGGGAGAAGATGGCTGTAGCAGTCCCAGGTGTCATATGGTTGGGACAACATCAACAGGCAGGAAGAAACCACCCCAGAGGCTTCATGCTCCTTATGTCTTATTTACCAGAATTGGGTTGCTAGCTAGTCCCTAAAATAGTGACTGACAAGGAGCATGGGATTACCATGATTGGTTAGTGTTTATATGGCTTTTGACAGTTCTTATACAGGACTGTGGCATGCGTTGCTGGACATTTAGCATCTCTGGTGCCTTCCTACTAAATTTAATAGCAACCCAAGGCATTGTGACACCAATAAAAGAAAAAAAAAAGCCCTCTTCCCCTCCATCCCACACACACTCCCTAGAGAAATGATACTGGTTAAGAACCATTGGCTTAGACCAGTTGGGATTTACCTTGGTACTGAATTATGTGTGTATAGTTTTCTTTTTCCTGAGTGGTTTGGAGGGAAGAGAGGAACTAAGCAGTATTGAAGTTCTGTTGTCAGGGAAGTAGGGTGGGAAATGGTGGGTAGGTAATTAGCATTCTGCCATGAGAATTAAACATTTTCTTTCTTTTTTTTTTTTTTTTTTCGCAGTA